ATCTTGTTTTTTGAAATGTTGTATTTTGGACATGCTTTGTCAGTTGTCATTCAAACTTGGTACATGGATTATACATGTTAGGATACATGTCCATGACGATTTATTTCGCAATTGGATCAAAGATGGTCGACTAGCAGGCATCTTGTTTTTGTTTTTTTATGCGGTATCTTGGACGTGCTCTGTCAGTTTTCATTCAAATTTGGCACATACATGTACTTTATACATGTTAGGATGCATGTCCATGACAATTTGTTTCAAAATCTGGTCAAGGATGGCCGATTGACAGCATCTGACTTTTTGGCCTTACTACTATATTTCCACAATTTATGTACTGTTTTCATTCGTATTTGGCACATACATCATACATATCAGTGTGTTTCATAATCAGATCAAAGATGGCTGAATAACGGCTGTTCTTATTTTGGCCATATTACTATGACACGAAACACGTGTTTTGATGTAAATAAACAATCTGTTGTATACGCCACTTGGAACTCAAATTTCAAGGACACGCTCGCGACAACCCCTCCGCTTTAATATGACGAGCACAAAGAGAACTTAACAGGGACTGTGTCATTTTCAATGACTTGTTTTTGATCACTTAATCGCTTCGGTAAAAAAAACAGACCCGCCATGATGTTTGTGAAACATTAGCATGTGTCCTTTGACCCGATGGGTCAAAAATGCCATTAACCAATGAAAATGCCGCATGGTAATGCCGGTAGAATCCGAAGTTTTCCGAATGGTATGATCATAAAAATTATGTTGCGGAAGTAAAGTGATGTCGTAGCACGATGTGTTGGCATCGATTTCATCGAAAACTGCATGATGGCTTTCGAAAGAGTGATTTGCAATTTTAAAATGTAAAATAGGTCTTGAAAGAAGAGTTTTTACATGATTCGCAATGATAACAGTTCAAATGTATTTTACCAAATCACGCAATAAACACGTTTTTTTCTTCTTGAGTAGCGTAAACTGATCGTGAACTCCGCTTTGACCATGTTATAACGAGGTGGAATTGATTTTGAAAGAATTTTAGCCATCAATCTAAAGACTGTGTCTATCGCAGAAAGTATTTACTTACAAACAAAGAGGTGCTAATTTCACAAAATTGACTAGCTGCTACGTATCGTGCGACTAGGTCTATTGTTTACAAATTATAATCCACGACTGACAGGATGCGTGTCGGTTGGTACGTAATTATAATAACAATCAGACAATAGTCCTCGTCGGAAGCGCTTCTGTGGTGGTCACTAATTTTGAGTGACGGTCGGGGCCGACCGGCGTGGTGAACAAAGCCTTTTCACATCTGATATTGGCATTTCGAATATATAATCAAGCGCCGAGGTTTGGAACACATAACCCCGAGGTCCCAAGTAAAGCGCCGAGATTCACAAGTATAGCGCCGCGGACCTCGGCGCTAAAAAGCCCTGGGGAGAACTCTGTTGGTCACCGTATTCATCAGTATAAAGTCTTCCCTGAGTATGAACGACAGTTGTCCTGAAAAATATCATGATAAAAATATCAAATCTGATAAAATATTTTGACTGTTTCTACATTACTGATCACTGGTTATATAAATTCTAAGGTCATTGATCTCAGTGGAAATATGCATTGTTGTATGTGTTTAATTAAGCAAATCATTTATCTTGTAATAATATCCTTGGTAATGTATCTCCCAAATCTCATGGGAATACTAGACTAGGTTTCAAAACCAACTCATGGAGAGAGAAACCTACCAATAAAATCTTTACAGAAAACAAGATGTCAGAAAATCAATATGAGCACTCCCGTGAATTAGGTGCCAAACTTTGATTAAGATCTTTAGCTAATAGAAAATCTATTTAGTCCAAAGTTATCAAATCAAAAACAATATATAAAAAATACATAAAAAGCAAACAGTTGTATCCACATTTTGAAAAGAAAATTGTACTCAAAAATATTTATTCTGTATTTGACAAACAGCTCATTTGACAAATGAAATTCACATGAATTTGTTTCAGATATTAGAACAGAATAAGAGCTTTTATGATAATAATTTAAAAAAACACTAAAAAAACAAAGATTGGAATGTTTGAAGATGTAAATTCTCAGGAGGCAAAAGTACTGTTGTCTTCTCTCTCACTGGACACCAACTAATTATTTAAGTTGATTTGCATTACAAAGCAGAGTATGCAACATGATAGAGGGCGTTTTATTTTACTTTTCAAATAATACAGTAGTCATACAATGAATATAATAAGGCAGTTCATATTTGTCTCAGTGAATCATTAATATTTGACAGACACCTGTACAAAATACTTGGATAAAAGCCAGCTAAGATTTTCTGTTACCTTGCATGTTTTATGAATCTATTCACGTCTAAATGCAGCTGAGACATTTGTTTTTATACTAAAATATCTGAGTTACTTTGAATAAAGCTGGAAATTATGTCCCTTAAAATATTTAAACAAATTAGGCACCAATGTTTTTGTATAATATTCACATCTATCAAGGATATCCGGTAGACTGCTTTCCAACTGTTGTTTCAACCCCAAAACTTGCTTGTATTCAAAATTAATTATCACAATGCATATTCATATTGAAACAAACTATGATAAAGGAAATAATAATATATAACAAGGGGCAAGGTCACCAGAGTTCAACTATGTTTAGTTCTGACAGTAATATGTATGGATGTTGTGTAAATGTTTTTATAGTATATTCCATTTTTCCACAGTTACAAACTTTGTTTTGGTGGGGTTGAATGTTATTCAAAGAGATTCTTTAATAATTCATGATTTGTTATGTGATGATGCCATTTACTCTTCTATACTTAGATGAAGAACTATTAAGTTGAGCAGAAACAAGCGGATGCTCTTAAAACAAAATGTTAGCAATACAATCAACAAAGTCAAGTGTATGGGTGTATGAGCCAGATTAACATTTTTGACTTCTAAATAAATGGAAAAAATTGACTAGGCAGTGAGTTGAAAAACATGATATATAGTAGATAACATTTGGTAATCATTGTTCTAAGTAATTATTAAAAAAAATAGCAAGATGTTTTGAGCAATCAGTTGTTATTGACAGTGATTGTAAAATAATTTTCATTCATACTGTTTCATAAACCCAATCTCTTCAAATAAAAGTTAACACTTAAAAATGCATTATGGGAAACAGCTTGGATTTCTCCTTCTTGACTACAGATGGTACACTCACCCATTTTACTGCAATTTTGCTATTGTGTTAGGTGGCTTATATATTATATTTCTGTTCTTATTCCTTGCTTGCCTTCCTGCTCTGTGCTACAAAAAAACTATAAAAACAGAAAGACAATTATATATTTCTGTAGATAAAAATTACAAATTTATGTCCGGTAAGTAATTTTTTTTGTCACCAGGCTCTACATTCTGAAGAGGAATTTTGGTCTGCACAGCAAATATTACCCAATCACTGCACCTCGAATAGTTTCCATTAGAAAGACCATCCTTGGGAGCACAGCAAATATTACCCAATCACTGCACCTCAAAAATAGTTTCCAATAAAAAGACCAGCCTAGGGAGCCCAACAATTATTACCCAATCACTGCTCTTCAACTTGTTTTCATTAAGAACCATTAAATGGATGGTTAGGACTTGTTTGAATCACATTGTTTCGCGTAATACCAGCAGAATCATTTGAATGAGATTAAACAGGTGAAAAACAGTAAAAATAATTTGTAAAATAATATAAATCTGTATTACCGTAATAGCTGGGTGTTAGTTTACAAATTGTGAGAATTATTTTGGAATCTCATGGCTGTGTCATTTGTTAGTTTGCACTGCATGCCTGTATTTTTTTTTAACTTTTAAACATATATTTAATATTATAATTTTATATAAATATTATGTGTTTCCTATGCAGTTATGGCAAGGTTTTTAAAATGGTGTCTTAGCTAATCATGCACCACACCTGCCCTCAACTAAACTATGTTATTGATTTTTATTTTCATATCTGCTTATGACTTTTAATTTTACGATGTTAAATGCAAAGTCTGTTTGCCAAATTGATAAGTGTTTACAAAATCAAAAGTCAAGAATCATTTTTGTCATCTGACTTTGTTAGATTATTTCTTTTCATAAATTACCACTACAAGAATGACACAATAATGTAAAATGCTATTCACAAGTAAATTTAAAAAAACCCTCAAAAGTTATGTTTGCATTTGTTCATATTTTAAGGACAAATGCAAACATTCACAATAACAAATGATTTTCATTTCAGTTCCTAACTTTGTAAGTTGTGTTGATTCTAATATGCCAGCTCATCAAATTTCACTCAAATTTGGGTGTTTTGTTTTTACGCCAAATAGTTCTTGGTTGTTTTCCTAACAGAGCCTTCTGGGTCATGTGACTATATGGCTCCCTTCATTGGGCCATTCCAGTTTATATCTGCACCCCCCCTGTTGATGAGTTTGTGTGTTTAGTTCATACAGGGTATAATTTCCATGGGTGTATAAGTCATACAAAGTTGTATTTCCAAATCACCATTCACCATACAGTAATGGAAATCCAAAACTATAGTTCCTACTTATGGTGTTGATGAGTTCCTTTGTGCCACCATACAGAGTAGGATTTCCAAATATAACTCTCATCATATGCTAATTTACCAAGTTCAAAATTTTATATTTGATAATGGAAATCCAAACTAGTCCTGATTCACGGT